TGACCAGACACACACACACACACACACACACACAAAGGGAAAGTGAGAAAGCAAGCCACCAGGTTCAGGACTCAAACCATCATTGGCCACATGGGAGTATCCAGCGCCTTAACCACCATGCCACCTGCTGGTCCCCTAAAAACATTCTTACCAAGAGAACCCAAGCTTTATATGGCTTTATGACTGAATTCCAGCAAACACTGTGGGAGAAATAATACAATTCTGCACAAGTCTTACCAAAACATAGGAAAGGAGACAACACGTCCTAGCTCAATTGATGTTAAATGATGAAAAATGCATGCATCCCCAAACCAAAGAAAAGTACAGACCAATGTCCCTCCTGGATACATATTTTAAAATGCTAAACAGGGACTGTGGGAGGCTGTGCACCAACGAATATTGCCGGTTTCTCAGAAAGCAAACAATTACACAAAGCCAAAGGCCATGATTGGCTCCCCTTCAAAAACCTCACCTTCAGAACCATACTCTGATTGGCTACTTCCCATAAAGGCCACAATTGGTTCCTTTCAAAAAACCTGACCTTCGAAACCATACTCTGATTGCAGACGACCAGGAAGATGACACAGACGACCAGGAAGACGACACAGACAACCAGGAAGAAGACGACGACCAGGAGAGCCTGAAGAGCTGAAACACCGCACAGTCTCCAGATGACCCTGAAGAGCTGTAACACTACACTGTCTCCGGACGACCCCGGAGAGCTGTGACACTGCGTCGTCTCCGTGCTGCTCACAATAGACGACGTGACCCTGAAGAGTTGTAACACTGCGTCATCTCCATGCTGTACCGTGCTGCCCACAATAAACAGACGACACTGAAGACACTGTGTCATCTCCGTGCTGTAACACTATGCCGCTTGTCCAGGCTCTCACTCCTTCACTCAGGAAACCTGTTTGACTGTCCCCCGGGTCGGGACAAGGGACCAGCAGATGGCATGATGGTTACATTGCTGGACTCCCACATAGCCGAACACAGTTCGAGTCCTGAACCCAGCAGCTTAAAACTCACACCAGGCTCATGTGCGTGCGAGCTCAAAATCCCAAGAGGAGAATAGAGGAGATGGGATTACAGCATGGGCATCCCCCTGGGGGTGATTTGTCACTTTCCATCTCTCTGTATCTCTCTGTCTCTCCAGCAAGCACATGCGCCCTATGGCAAAAATCTCTTTAAAAATGCTAAGCAAGGGAACCAGCAGTTAGCGTAATGGCTATGTCGCTGGATTCCCACGTAGTCGACTGTGGTTCGCGTCCTGGACCCGGTGGCTTAAAACTCACGCCGGGTGCGTGTGCATACGTGCCCAAGATCCCGAGAGGAGAATGGAGGAGAGGGGATTGCGGCGTGACCATCCCCCCTGGGGGGTGATTTCTCGCTTTCTGTCTCTATGTCTCTCTCTGTCTGTCTGGCGAGCGCACGTGCCCTACAGTGAAAATCTCTCCAAAAAAAAATGCTAAGCAAAATTTCAGCAAATCAAATCTAGCAATATCTAAAAAGACAGTATATCAAGACCAAGCAGGGTTCTACCCAAGAACACAAGATTGCTTCAACATTTAAACAGCAGTCAATGTGGGCCATCCAGTGGTAGTTAAGGCGGCCGGATCCCACATGTTCCCACCCTGGACCTGGTGGCTTGAAAAGAATGCTGGGCATATGTGTGCATGTGCCCAAAATCTGGAGAGGAGAACGGAGGACCAGAGATTGCAGGGTTTCTCTTTCTCTCCTTGCCTCTCTCCTCCAAGTCCATGCGCCCTCTAGAAAAAAAAGTAAAGGGAAAAAAGGTGCCACTGTGTCGGGGGCCAGTAGGTGGCATGGTGGTTGGGGAAGTTGGACTCCCACATGGCTGACTGTAGTTCAAGTCCCGACCTGGTGGCTTGCCTTCTCACTTTCCTTCTCTCTCTTGCTGTCTCTCTCTGATCAAAATAAAATAAATAAAGTTAAATAGAATAATTATTTTAAAGAAAAAAGGTGCCACTGTGGACTTGCCTTTTCTGGAATGTGATGTGAGTGCAGTATGTTGGTCCATTCCATTCACAGTCCCAAGTGGAAACTACCCAGGCGTCCACTATCTGGTAGCAGAACGAGTCAAGTACTGTGTGCTCTGTGACTGCATTCGCATCGCATTCTAGAAAAGGCAAGTTCAAAGTGCTAGATCAGTGGCTGCCGGGCTCCAGGTAAGGAAGGGCGTTGACTGGGAAGGGCTACGGCAGAACTGCCGATTGATCAATTGCCAGACACCGAATCAGAAAGAGCGGGCAGCGGAGAAAGCACTGCCCAGTGGGGTGTGGTCCCACCTCCGCCCCTGTACTTCTCCATCCCGTCAGGATTGCGGCCCTGCACACACGCATGCCCAGTGTGTTTATCCAAGCTGCTGGGGTGGAATTTGAACTGCATGGGTAGCCATGTGGAATCTGATTCCCTTAATCACCAGGCCCCAGAGCTGATCCTCTCAAGAGAACTTTCTGGAAAGATGGAAATGCCCGTTCTATGCTATGCTGCTGGTGGTTCTGTGACTACATACACTTGTCAAAACTCATCAAACTGTGTAATTCGAATTGGCGAATGCTGCTGTCTGCTAATCATACCATGGTAAAGCGATTTGCCTTGGAGAAGGAGAGAAAGCATTGCCTACACCATGCTCCCTCGACACCAGGAGCTTCCTTCCCTATCTTCCAGCAGCTCTAGATGGAGGGAGAAAAGGCTTTTCCACCAGTCTGCCAGCTACCTGCTTATCGCTATTGCTCAACCTGCAAGCATCCGATTCCCATCTCGTAGAAGGGGAAGGTGAGGCACAGACAGCTGGGTGTAGCCTGGATGGCACAGCAGGGGCCTCCTGTCTCCATCCACTTGGACAAGGGGTGGAGATGAGGGAGGGAAGAAAAGGCTCCCCAGTAACTCATCCACTGCTCCCCTCCACCCCCCCGCACAGCGCATGATCTGCACTTCCTGTCCCTTGGTTGACCTGAATGGCCCAGGAAAGTCGCCTGCTCGCTCCTAGGTTACAGGTGCGAGTGTGAGGGGTGCGTATTCTGAGGGGCCGTGGCACAAGTGCGCAGCTGGAAGCCAGAGTCCACAATCCACAGCCAGAGGGAGACCTGCGCTGGGAGTGTGTACTGGGTGCTGCATGTGCGTGAGTGCAGGTGTATGCGGCATGCATGTGCACATGTGTCAATGCATGTAGTATGTGTGACATGGAAGACGTGTCCATGTGTAGGGAGTGTGTGTGTAAATGCATGCATGTGACACGTGTAGTGTGTGCTGAGCCGTGCAGTGTGGGAGTGTGCATGTGTGTGGTGCATGGGTGCAAAGTGTGCCGTGTGCCTGCACAGAGTGCGCATGTCTGTGGTATGTGGTGTGTGTGGTGTGTGCATCTGTGTGGTTGTGCACACATGTTGTTGGAAGGGTGGGGGGATGAGATGTGCCCACTTCCGCATCTCTGCAAGACTGTATGTCCTCCATACCCAATGTTGTGGCTGGGAGGGGCTGGGGCGCTGCCAGGCTCTCTGGACAGGAAGGGAAAGCCTTGGCCGCAGGCCGCACTTGGGTCTGGTCCGTGAGAGGCTGTTTTGGTCTCCAGCCTTGCAGGTCACCAGAGAAAACAAACAGGAAAAAGGAGCCTGGGCCTGGGCGGGCCCCAGTGGAGCTGAGCCGGGGCTGCTACCCAAAAAACAAGGCCCAGGAGGGAAGAGGCACCACCATGGTTGGGGGAGAAGATGGCCACAGGGGCCGGAGGGCCATGGAGGGAAGGGAAAGGGCCCAGCGTGAAGCCCTGGCCTTGGAGCTCACTGCTCATGTCCCCTTCACGCGGCACACGTACAAGGAACGTGCGTGTCTGTGGGTCTGTGGTGCATTGTGTGCGTGAGAGGGACCCGAAGCTCCTGCAGGACAGGTAGCTGTAGGTGGGGAAGGAGGAAGTGCAGTGTCCCTGGGGAGGAAGCTGGATCTCACAGGGGCACATTAAGCCCTGACTTGGCCCCCGCCCCCCCTTCCTGTCCCTCATCTCTGGCCAGCCAGCCGTAATTAAGGAGGATGAGGGGCCGCTCCTCCCCGTAATGGGGCCTCCAGTGCTTTCACCCCTTCCTCGCCTGGGCCCAAAGAGCGACAGAACAAGCCTGGCTTGGGAGAGCGGAGTGAAGCTTTGTTAGCCTGGGCCAGGCCTATCCGTCTCTGACCTCAGTTTCCCCACTTATAAAACGGAGGTGCTGAGCCAAAGGATCTCCCACAGTGCTGCCAGACCGGATGTTCCAGTAGGGTGCCCCCGTGGGGTGGACCCGGGCAAGAGGAGGGGGGCAGCCATAGAGGGTGCTGCGGGGGGAAGCTGGG